GCAATGAGAAAAAGTCAATGGTACTCAATAATTTGGTTAAGTAACTTTGATGTCACCTAGCCTTCAAAGCAACGCAAGAAGGTGATTGTGTCTAATCTTATTTGCATAAAATATATTAGATATGAGTCTTAAATTTTTTTATAATGTTTGGATTACTTATTCATTTTTTTTTTTTTTTTTTTAGTGAAAATAAATCTGATAATAATTTTTTTTTGTGAAAATACTATATTGTTGTATATTTGAAGATGAAAAAGATTTTGAGTCTCAATGAAACATTTTGAGATTTCTGATAATCATATTTTCATAGGCAAAGTCGTTTCTTTTAAAAATATTTTGTTTTAAAATATGGTAAATGAGAGAAGCATGATTTGAAAAAATACATCTAGCAATTTAATCATTATGGTTAGAAAAAATGCATTAAATTAGGAAGAACTAACAATAAAAATTATTGATTGGTAAAAAAGAAAATAATAACGATGTCTTTTAACAAGATTATGGTAATTGCAATGCTTAGTTGGCAACATTCTGTGTTAGTCCACAACATATTATTACTAGTACAACACTCGTGTATTACACGGGTGCTTGTTAAAAAATTATTCTTAGATTTTAAAATTACTAAAAAAACTATATTAAATTTAGTTTATTTTTTTACAAAAAAATATATTACTATATATTTTAGAACAATATGTGTTACTTATGACTTACATGTGTTATATTATATTAGTTTTTATAACTTATATCATATAACTACTTGAAATATAAATATATTAGTTGATAAATAATTTTATTTTTCTAATTAATATTAAAAATAATTTTATTATTGTTATAAAGATAAATATAAATTATTTTGTATACATACAATATGGATGTTAAATCGAAGCTCATCAAAAGAAGATTAATTTGATATATTACATATGTAAAACTGATAAAAAATACAAAAGTTATCAACTTTTAAAATATATATACAATTCAATAGTTATAATAAGGAATGATATTAAAATACAATTAATACATATAACATGACCATAAATAATCAACATATTTATAGTAATCCGAACCTAATTATTTTTGGTTTGGAATTAAATTAAAATTTACTCAAGGCTAATAACGAAGCATGTAATTTTGCCACATAGGATTTCGAAGCACCAGAAGCAGCTACGTAGGCTCAACACGTTCTGAATTAATATATAGGGGAATATCAATAGGATTACGAAACGTGTGAACCTACACTTAGGCTCAACATTTATAAAATTATATATAATAGGGATATTTCTCTATGTTTCCTTGCACCCCTTGAACTTTCTCTCTATTTCTATCTCACGCGTTTTGGAGGTGTAATTCAAGACACAAGGCGTGTGAGTCATGAGGTTAGTGTATTTATAAGCTATAACAATGGTCTTAAAGAGGTATTAAAGTAGGACTCCACATAGGGTTAGGTGTTAACATAATACCCAATGCGTATTGATAATATTCCATTCCACTAAGGAGTATTATTGAACTTCCCTTTCACTTTAAATTATGATTTAGCTCCCGATTTATATGTTCAATTTATCTCCCCACATTTAAGATATTATTATTTATTAATTAACTTAATTAGTAAATTTTTTTTTAAGAATCAATCCACTTGCAAGGTTTGACATAAAAGTTGAACATCATTAACTTGACACATCAGGTCACAATGTCTATAACAATTAACAAGATATCACGTAAACAATGTTTCTACCAATCACCATGTCTATTGACTCAATAAACGAATCTCACTTTTTAGTAAATCAAAGTAGTAGTTATTAAATATACATGTCTGTTATTATATGATGGATACAAAGTAATAGTAATAACTAAGGTATATATAATTCATTTACGTGGTCGCCAAGACAAACATGAACTTATCATCCGTGGTTCGCCCAATACACTCAAAAGCGCAATACTATAATTCATTAGTGAACACCAACTAATTCTAAAATTACTTTTCAACCGTTCATGATAGTTTGTTTGATTCTATCTTTGGTTGGAACCATGTCTACATTTACAAGGAATGATAATATGCTCTTATATATGTTCAACACCCTGAATCATATAATATACAATGTAAAATAACGAAATATTTTGCATTATTGTATAGCATAAATAAA